GAAATGATGCAAAAGTGGTTTCATACCCTACAAATAAAATTCCACGTTTCCACTCAAGATAATTATGGGAACTCTTTGTTTGGGATTTTAGCATTTTTTTTAATATAAAAAAGCAGAATCCTCAAATTTACCATAAAAAAATATCGGTAGAGATACATTCATTTAAAAAAAAAAAGGATAAATTACCCATTCAAATCATAAATTAATACAAATCATCCATTAAAAATGTGTGATTTGTATTAATTTATGATTTGGAGAGGCAATTTGTCCTTGCTTTTTTTTGAGGAATGGATGTATCCCTACAGATATTTTTTAAGAGTGGATTTGAAGGTTTTATCATATAAAAAATGAGTTTTATGTTTCATCATTAAATTGTAAAAATAAAAACTATCAAAGGAGAAGTAAGTAGCACTATTTAATTTAAGTTATGCAATTGAAGTATAAAAAACCAAAATTTAGTCTAAAAAAGGGAAAGAAAAGATGCAACTTGTAAGACTTTCACGTCCCTAGCTGTAAATAGGGGTAATATGATAAGGTAATTAAAATAAAAGACCAAAATCCAGATCTTGGGTTTGGATTTTCCATTAGTATACATGTTCCTTATAACAAGTCAAAATGTAGGTTAGCTTATCAATACAGAAGAAAAGCCCCAAGAAAGCAACGAGTAAGGACTGATATGATCAAGAACAACATTGAAATGTGCAAATACCGAAATCAAAGAAGAAGAATAATAAATACGTGGGGGAATGCTTGTCTACCGTTTTTCCGGCGGGGCAACCCTTTTCCGGCGAAGCGACCTCCTCTTCTTTTTCTTCTGTCTTTCTCAGCTTGTATTCATTCTTTACCCTGAGCATGATTTCAGGCTCAGCACATCATGTTGGAGTGCGCTGGTAAAAGAAACTGAAATAGCGGGGAAAAGAAAAGGCTCAATATAATGGGCCCTAAAAAAGATATTAATAGTAGTCCGCAGCACAAAAAGCCCACTTATTTTAGCTCACGAGACTTGGGTTGGCTGTAGGACACGGGCCAGACATTTCATTCCTGCAGGCCCTTAAGAGCACGTACAATAGTAAAGATTTTTTTTTTTTGAACAAATTGACCGGGGATTGAATTCAAATCGTTGTAGTAGGGAGGAGAAATACGTTTATATGTAACTTGACGTCACTGGACTCGAAAACCCAAATGCAATAATAGAGATTTTTTTGGTTTTTTTTATTAATACTAAATTATCATAATTAATATTATTTTATAAAATTTATATTTTTATATATTTAATACTTAAATAAAACACCTAACAAAACATACTTTTTTTCTAATACATATACTTAGATAAAATTTTTTCAAAAATTACACCAATATTATTTTATTCAACATATATTTTATATATTCAAAAAAATTGAATTAACAAAAATTTTTTAAAAAGCGGCAACCATTGGCTTTTTCATCCGACTTCTAATGCCGTTATCAAATGGTGCAAAATTTTGACGTGTTATTAAAAGTGAAAATAAATGCCGATTATATGACCAATTCACGTGGCTTTAATTGAATGAATAAAAGGACAATTTTAGATGGTCGTTTCAAGGCTTGTGGAAGTATTTCCTTAGCTACTTGCACAAGACATTGGTAACTAGAGGAGCCTCAGATTATATCTTTGTTATCCATTTGCTCCAGTTGGTGGACATGGCTATTATGGTCTCCCAAATTTCCATGTATCCGTGTTATTTTATCTTCTCTGTATATGGAGATTATTCTAATTGGAATTGTACTGTCATGGTTTTGACAGGAACTGGTCATCCAGCATTTGTTTACTATAGGTTGAAAGGAGAAGGGAAAAGTGCTAGGATGGGTGAAGCAAGACTGCACTGATTCATCCTCTTTGCCAGAGCATACCAAGAGGTGGGAAATTTCTGCAATTCACTAATGCTATTGGGTTTAAAGGAAGGTTTTTGTTGATAATGATTTTTATTTGAGAATCAGAGCTCAGAGTTCGAAAAGGCTGCTCCTACTGTGTTCTCAAAGCATTTCACTCAAAATTTGGTAGAATCTGATGCAAGATTTTGTTGGTCTTTCTCATATCTTGGAAAACGACAAAAATTGTGGATGATGTTGAAGTTTGCTCGCTTAATATTGAAGATCTCTCATGGGAGAAGATGGAGAGTCTTGAGGAGAGAACATTGTTTCTGGGTACTAATTGCTGCATGTCAGTCTCTACAAGCAAAGCCAGATTAAAATTTTAAAAAAATAAAATAAAAAAAAAAAGGGAAAAGAAAGGAAAACTGTCTATTTTTCTCATAGCACGGATGATGGCCGGTGGGAATGTGAAATGAAAAAGGGCAGCATATCATTTGCTTGGAAGGATGCTACAACAGAGTCCCCTGTTTGAATGGAGCCGATATAGGAAGAGTGATTGTCAAACTCAAAGATTAGACAAATGAATGAGCATAAGCTATTGTATTTGATGATGGCTTGTATTCTCATCAGCTTGTATGCATTAACAGTTGTGTCAGAAAAGGTTAATCAGTGCTGAATTCAATTATAAGCTTCCTCTTCTCTGCTAACAACATTCAAAGAAATTTCGGCTGCTATCAGCTTGCGAGTCACATCGTTAACATTAACAATCAACAAAAATTGCTATTAAGCAACCACATTTACACAACTAGAAAACATCACAAAGACCTCAGCGTAGATTTGATGTAAACTGTGAGGAATTAGGCTTCACAACAGTGAAAATGCGGAAATAGTCTAAAGTACTAGCAAATCCCACTGATTTTCTAGATCCTGGCCGGCTAAGGTGCAATTACTAATAAACAGAAGTTTTAACTGATAAAATGAACAATTTAGCGGCATAAAATGCCATAAGCAAATTCAAACGGGCATGACAAAAATCCATTAATCTTAAAGAAACACACGTGTTTATATATTATCAAAATTAACTATTAGCACCTTTGACACCAAAATTAGCGAGGGAGAGTAATGCTAAGTGAATTGGGTTGACTTGTTTTGATGGTGGAAGTATTAGGGATATCATCATAATTGGAAATAGGCATCTTACTTGGTAGATTTGGAAGTGCTGCCTCAAAATTAAGTACCTGGATTGCTTGCCTAATTGATAGTCTCATACCATGAGAAGGATGAGCGCACCATAACCCAACAAGTAGCAAACATTCCATCTCTTTCACGTTGAATTCAGCAGAGAGTTTCTTGTCAGCTACATCAAGAAGCATTTGATTCCCATATGCTTCCCAAACCCAAGCCACCAATGAAGACAGATGCTCGTCATGCTTGTACTCTATTGACCTTCTGCCACATGCAATTTCAAGTGCCACAATTCCAAAACTATAGACATCAGACTCCTTGGTTGCCATGCCTGTTCTGTAACACTCAGGAGCTATGTAGCCCATGGTTCCAGCCAATAAAGTTGTTCGTGACCCCTTTTCATGGTCAACTAACCTAGCTAACCCAAAATCCCCAAGCTTGGTATTAAAAGCTGAATCTAACATAATGTTACTTGCTTTTATGTCCCTATGTAGTACACAAAAATCTCCTTCTTCATGTAGGTAAAGCAATGCTGACGCTAAACCCTGCACGATTTTGTATCTAATGTCCCACGGTAACAAGCTTCTTCCTTTGAAAAGATGGAAATCTAGGCTGCCACCAAGCATGAACTCGTAAGCAAGTAAGAGTTCCTTTTCATG